ATCTAATGTAAAAATTCTTTGGCCATAGGGTAAAAAAAGAAAAAAAAAAAAAGAGGACCAATTGAATTCTCTCTTTGTCTTGAAAATCCCAAAGTGTGATATATCATAAAAGTTATTTTGTCAGGGTAGAGGAAGGTTTAAAAGCCATCAGACTAACTTGAAAGCAGTTTCTCTTTGATCTTTCTGCTGGCATGAAATAGAAAACTTTTTTTTTTTTAATTTTTTTTTTCAACGTTTATTTTTGGGACAGAGAGAGCCAGAGCATGAACGGGGGAGGGGCAGAGAGAGAGGGAGACACAGAATCGGAAACAGGCTCTAGGCTCTGAGCCATCAGCCCAGAGCCCGACGCGGGGCTCGAACTCACAGACCGCGAGATCGTGACCTGGCTGAAGTCGAACGCTTAACCGACTACGCCACCCAGGCGCCCCGAAATAGAAAACGTCTTAAAGAAATGCTCTACAATTTATCTGAGAGCCTCATTAAATGGATATTTTAGGTAGGGGTTCATCTGAGGTGGTGGGTTCTGTGGTTATGACACATCCCTGTCCACATGATTTACATCTTTACGGCAGGGTCGGGCAGTTCCCTTCCACTACCAACAGTAACTTAGCATTAACGACTCATTTCCATTACATTGACTTCCAGCTCTGTCAAAATCTAAGGAATTGGTCATCCAAACTAAGTCACCCTAAGATCTCAAATCCCAGTGTCGCTAATTTATTTGTGTGACCGTGGGCAATTTATTTAACAGCTTGGTGCCTCAGTTTTACCCTCAACTAAAATGGGTTTTTACGGAGTACCATTGTGTATCGAGTGACTTAATATATGAAAAGAACTCAATGGGTATTGAAGAGGGCATCTTTTGGGATGAGCCCTGAGTGTTGTATGGAAACTAATTTGACAGTAAATTTCATATATTAAAAAGAAAAGAAAAAAGAAAAGAAAAGAAAAGAAAAGCAAAGAAAAGAAAAGAAAAAAGAAAAGAACTCAGAACGGGGGCACCAGGGTGGCTCAGTCGGTGAGCGTCGGACTTTGGCTCAGGTCATGATCTCGCGGTTCGTGGGTTCGAGCCTCACATCCAGCTCACTGCTGTCAGTGCATAGCCCATTTCGGGTCCTCTCTGTCTCTCTGTCCCTCCCTCCCTCTCCGCCTCTCTCTCTCTGCCCCTCCCCTGCTTGTGCTCTCTCTCTCTCTCTTTCTCAGAAAACAAACATTAAAAAAGAAAAGAACTCAGAGCAGTATCTGGTGCACAGTAAGAGGTACCGAGTACTGGTTGCCATTTGTTTTGTGCTTTAAAGTACACAGGAGATCTATCAGTTCGAGATCTTTGCCACAGCCTAGAGGTCAGATGAATTTTAAGTAGCTTGCCCAAAGACCAGTACTAACATATGGCGGGGCCGGCACGCAAATTCAAGCCCTCAGAGCAGTCGGTGAGTTTCTTTCCAATTCCCTTGTCTCGCAAAGGAGAAAACACCCAAAGAGTTTAAGTGATTTAGACAAGATGAGGAAGCTGGCTAACGGTCATTCCATGACCGGATTCCAAATGTTGTCTCTCAACATTTCTGTCTTCCGGCAAGTGAGGAGTTTGCTTGCTTGCTTGCTTACTGAATGAGCTTTCTGATGAGATCATGCACGTAAGACACACACTGCGCGCCTGGGCTCCGGTGAGGACTCAGGCAGGGTGGCTACCCCTCTCACCCTGCATGCTTCTCCTGCTTCCTCGGTGGTTAAAGTCTAGCCTCAGGTCGAAAGACATCATGGAAAACAAGACTCCCTGTGATTTGCTCGCTGTTCTGGTGAACGGTTTATGGGGAGGCCTCCAAGCATTAGCAATGGAACGTGCACGGGCTGGTCAAGTTGGGAATTGACACTTCCTGGTTACTGGTGTCGACATCTTTATCACCTGCCCTCCAGTACACGGACCCCTGCCCCAAACAGGGAGACAGCGACCAGGAGGATTATTTCCAGTTCTCACTCACAGCCCCCCACCCCCTCTGGCAGTCGGCATTAATGTTGAAGAACAAGGCCAGGCCAGTTCTGGATCCGCACCCCAGCTCCACACTTAGTGCCTGGGTTATCCTGCGTAAGGCACCTAATCTGTCTGGACCTGTTTTCTTGCGTGTAAGTCATTCCCTGTCTTAGGAGAATGTAGTTGAGAATTAACAAAAGCGTTTTCAGAAGTCTGGCAAGCGAAAGGTTTTCAGGAATTATGAGTTGTCCCACTTTTCACAGTCGGCCACAGGGCTACTGCCCTGACCTGACCCCGGCTGGCCTCCTGCATAGGTGTTATCTTTAGATCAGACTTGTTACTTTACCCTCAAGAATTCAGCTTTTTCTCTCCTTCCTAATGAACAACGCAAAGTCCCTTCCCTCCTCTTCCAAGGGCGATGGTGGTTATCCTGAAAACAACCCCCTGATAGGCTGGCTGTTACCCGGGTCTGTCAGCCTCTCCACGGCTCGGCCCGATCTGGGGAAGGACAGCTCGTCTCAGGGGTATCACCTGAATGCACTGGAGACTCGAGCCTACCACGGATGACCTGTGCTGTCCTCCTCCCGAGGAAAGAAAGGAGGTTGTTAAGAGGAGAACTTGGCTTCAGGAAACTGCTTTCTGGACCAAGTAAAAACTGGGTTGACCACCTACTTCTCTGTACTTGTTTGACTTACGGGCACAGAGCTTGACCCATCTATCACAAAAAGTTTGAGAACAGAGCATCGTATTCTATCAGCATCGCCCTATATGTACCTAGAGAGAAACATCTTGTGCCAGGCACTGTGCTATATTTTGTGTATAAGCCTCACAATTAGGCTGAGAGAGCTATTATACACATGAAGAAACTGAACAGCTATTAAATGACCTGCCCATGGTTACACATCTTGGCCCAGCCCAGATTCAAATCCAAGCCTGGTCTGATTTTAAATCCCCATTCTTAACCTAAATATGCTTGTTCTTAAGAATTACCAGGGGTGATTAGTGTATGATTAGAGTGTATAAAATAGAGTGTATGAGCAACATCCCAGAGAGGCTGAATCAGAGTCTCCAGAGAAGAGACTAGGGAACCTGATTTAAAAAAAAAGAAAGAAAGAAAGAAAGAAAGAAAGAAAGAAAGAAAGAAAGAAAGAAAGAAGAAAGAAAACTCAGGTGACTGATATTTCAAAAGCAATCACCTCACCCTGGGTGATCTTCACCCATAACTGCTGAAATCATGCAGAGCTCGCAAAGCATACCAGTGCCTAGTTCCTGTGCACAAGCCATGGGTTCTTTCCCAGTTCCGTGATAAACGCCTCTATAGTTGACTCCATTTTCTCAGCTCCAGAATGGAGATAGATCCTGACATTTCTGCCCTACGCACCTCCTAGGAGCGTTGTGACAATGAAACCAGGGTGCTAGGAAGGCATTCCGCACAGAGCTCACTGAAACAAAATGTTTCAAAATCACATGAACCTTTAACAGGCTTTTGTGGGTTGACCTGGGAATCTAATAACCCCTTTAACATGGCTTCATGGGAAAAATTCACGCAAAAATTTTAGAATGCAATTTGTTTTAACTTTCAGGGCCACCTCGAAAGGTCTTTTGTTATAGGTCTAGGAATATCAACTATATCATGTGAAATCTTCTCTTATGTGAACATTAAATGAACAGTTGGCTTGACTTCCTGGTCTATTCGGTTCTCTCTTTAAAATAAATGTTAAATTTATTTCACATTTAAATGTGAAATGGAAAGTGTAGACTCTAAAATATCTATTCAACGATTGTACCATGAAAAATAATAATAGGTCTGATTCATTAAACATTTCTACATGCCAAGTCTATGCTAAGCCAGTAGTCTCCATACATCATTATTACATGTTGTTATTCCCATTTGCTGAGGCTTAGAGAGACTAATTATCTTGGCTGGAGTGATTTAGCTCCTAACAATAGTAGATACAGGATTCAAATAGAAATGTTAGCCCCACCCTGGTTCCAGGGTCTTAGCCACCTTGCTGTATGAGATCCCCATGCAAACGCATGGATTAGGAAGCAAAGACACGGAAACCTGAACAATAGCTGTATTAGAGCAGACGGATTATGGTCGGATTGCCCTTTATTTAAGATAAAATGAATTATTGGTATAAAACTGTATGTAATAAAGAAAAATTGGTAGAAGAAAAAAATACATTAAAAAATAACCTGGATTGGGGCGCCTGGGTGCCTCAGTCAGTTAAGCTTCCGACTCTTGATTTTGGCTCAGGTCACGATCTCACAATTTGTGGGATCGAGCCCCCAGTCGGGCTCTGCGCTGACAGTGTGGAGCTGTGGAGCCTGCTTGGGATTCTCTTTCTCTCCCTCTTTCTCTGCCTCTCCCCTGCTTGTGCTTAACTCTCTCTCTCTCTCTCTCTCTTTCTCTCTCTCAAAATAAATAAACTTAAAAAAAAATTTAAAAGTACCTGGATTTTAAGAATGGATGTTGAGACTTTTACCGTTGCAGGTTCTGGATTTTCATTTCTGTTCCTAAACCTTTATGGTCTTCTGGTCCCTGTGAGAATTAAGGGAAGAGAAAGAAGAGAAGTTAGGGCAGCCAGAAATCTACTCAAATGCCCTTTGGCCCTCACTGAGTTGGACAGAAGCGCTGTCCTTTGTAGAAGAGGATGAGAGCGCCGGGAGTGGTGATGAACTTGCTCTCAGCCCTCTTAAGTCCCATTCTCACCTCCTTTTGTATCAAGGGGGAGAGTGCTGTTGAAGCCTGGCACTACCGGGAAGCTAGCCGTCCACATGAACGGTGAGCCTGGAATTTGCACCCATTCGTCTCCTGCGCCCGCACCCCCACCAGCTGCTCAGGGGACGACCAGGATAACCACGTTCGGTGCTTTACTGGTGCTCCTCTCCCAGGAGCCTTCCTTGACAGCCAAGTAGGGAGCGTCGCGTTGTTTGGCTCACCGGGCAAGCGCCTCCTCGCCCCACCCCTTGCCTCCTTTCGGGGGAGCCTTGTTTCTAAAAGTGACTTTTCTTCCTTTCTAAACAGATATCTGCCAACGAAATCGAAATGCTTCTGATGAGGCTGCCACGCATGTTCAAACAGGAATTCACAGGCGTGGGAGCGACTTTGGAAAAAAGGTGGAAGCTGTGTGCCTTTGAAGGAATTAAGACGACCTAACTATGAGGAATTAAACAAGTCTCTGGAAGTGAAAGCGCCTGAACTCGGCCAGGGCTGTGCGCTGTGAGCACTGGAGGTTGGGGTCGTCCGGCGTGGGGCCCCTGCGGAGCCATCAGAGCCAGACTTCAGTGACATCCGTGGCGTCCTCTTGTGAGTGGAAATGTAATTGTGTACCAGTTCCCTAAAACCAAGCTCCATACTGTGACAGATCTGTTCCCTATGAAAACCAACGATTCCACAGTCATCACGATGGCAGAATCTTAAAATATGCTACATTTGAGAATAGCTCACCGAGCAGAATATTTAAAGTGAATGATGGTGTAGCAATGGTTGTTGCTAGGCTACTACAGAGTTGTATATGTAATGTATAGCAGAAATCATTCAATGACATTTTCCGGAAAGTCTTTCTGTTTTAGTAAAAAACAAAACAAAACAACAACAACAACAACAACAAAAATAAAAATAAAAAAGTAATTTTACAGTGAGAAAAATCATACCAAAAGAAAACTTGAATATGTGTCTGAACATTTATTGTATTTTGTAAATTAAGTTATATGCTATTCCAGGGACTTTTGCCTTATTGAAGAGGCAGAAAATGTGATTGGACTCCTTGGACTCCTTGAGAATGCTTTATCAAGAATATTATTTTTCTAATGTAACAATTCTCCGTCATCACTTCTTTTAACATGGACTGCATAACAGTTTTCATAAAATGTAAATAAAGGAAAAGCTAGTGCTCCTGTCTTGTACTTGGTATGTAATATTCAGGTTTATGCATCAAAATAAACATTCAGTAAATATTCCTGTTACAAATTTTATAGCAAAGATATTAATTTTTTTCAATAAATATGACTTCTGCCATATTGGTTTTGCAAATTATTCTTTGATACATTGTATTCACCCTTAAGAAGTCTTTTGCACATTATCCAGTCCCATCTCATATCCAACCATTTTTAAATGATCTTCTACATGAATGGCACGGAGACAAAAGATTATGTCAAATAGAAATGTATAAAAACTGAAGTGGGAAGTACCATGAAAAGCAGATTATACAGCATTAGAGTGTATGTCGTTTCTAAAATACCAACACCTTGATCCAAGTATAATCAACATAAATATTACCTTTGTCTGCAAAGGCAAGTACAAAAGAGCCAATCAGTTAATTCCTGGGTTTATTTAGTTTTATGTTTGCTGGAAAGCATACAAGTTAGAAAAGGAATTAAAGAATTCATACCTGGGCCAACAGTTCAATCAGAATTTGGGCTTTCACTATTTCTTTTAATTACAAGTAGGATACAGCTTTCAATTGTATCTCCTTCCTGCTCTCTTACATAGGAATCACAAAAAGGGAGAATTAGAGAACGGGGGAGGGGCAGAGAGAGAGAATCCCAAGCAGGCTCCGTGGTGTCGGCACAGAGCCCTACGTGGGGCTTGATCTCACAACCTTGAGATCATGACCGGAGCCGAAATCAAGAGACGCTTCACCAACGGAGCCACCCAGGCACCCTGATACTAACTTCATTTTATTTTTTTCTCACGTTAATTTTAAATGAAACTGTCACACAGACAGCTAAGCAGTGAATTTTCTTTGAAATTCTGAAAAGATGTTCATGATATCCTATTAGGAAATTATTGTCTTCAGGATCTTTTTATTGCGCTGCGTGTTATGTTCAGACTCAGTGCTAATCCTGTGAATATGGAGATAGATAAGAAAAGACCCTGTCCTTAATGAGCTCAGAGTTCGACAAGAAAAAGTGTCCCGAAAGTTTCTATATAATGTGAGCCAGGTGTCAGGAAAGATATAACAAGGGTGCATTGGGATCCAAAGTAAATGTCAATATCATATTAAAAGTTGACAAGCCAGAGGCCTCTCCCATACCGTCTATTGACTCCCATCACCACCATCACCCCGACAGCTTTATCTCTACGTCAGGAGACACAGAAGGATACAACAGCCAGAAAGGAGGTGACCTCGTTTCCGAATACTGTCATCACAAAACAGAAAACCTAAGAGGTTTGCCTTGAGAATAATCAGACGAAAAAGATTTCCACGAAGCGGCCCGTCAAAGACAGGCGGGGAACTGCAATCTAGACTATCGCTAACGGAAAGCAGGGGAGAGGTTTTCAAATGCGCGCACACGTTTGCAAGGCCTTGGACTAGATCTGACAAGACGACACCATTTCCTAAACACGTGGTTCTGAGCCCTAAACGGCAACACAGAGGACTGAAATGGTTAACACAGCTTCCAAAAATATTTGCGTCATTCCCAGAGGCAAGGGTCTGCCTCAGGAGGATCTATTTTGGCTGTGACATTCTTATTGACACTTGAAACGAATTATATTAACTGTCTGGAAATACATGAGGGATATATTTTAACTTCGATTACGTGAATAAATTATTTTTGTAGGAGAAACTTTTGAATTATTTCACAGACATTCAGAAGGGACCTTAGAGGTCACCTGGGGAAGGAACTGACATTGGGACCTTGGGGCCATCTGGAGTCTACATATGCGTGTCACTGCGTTCTCTGCAATCCTTAGGACAGCCCTATATGAAGACACTATTATTGTCCTCATTTGTCACACAAGGAGAATGAGGCTCAGACGTCCTAAGTCATTTGGACAAGTCTACACAGTCAGTAAAGGCTGATTACGGGATTTGAATCCAGGGCTGACAGACTCCAAAACCCGTTTTCTTCTTTTCACTATGTCCTGCTTCTAGTTCGGTGTATCCCCACCCTCCCAAGAGCCCAGTATCCTGCCAATGCTTCTAGATCACTGCTTTTGCTCCATCCCGTGTACATGGGGGTGGGCGTGAAGGCCCTTAGCCTTTCTCTTCCAAACCTACCCGGCGACAAATCATGGTTCTTGGGTTCCTAGAATAAGCAGGGACACTGAAAGTCTGGAGGCCCTCGTAACCGGGCCCCATTAGGCCTCTCTGGCTTGTTTTTTCACTGCTTCCCTGAAGAGGACGAAGCGTTTGTCGCCTTTGTTTTGCTCAGATTTTTCTATCTGGATAAAATGACCTTACTGACATCCAGGTACCACAAAGCCTTCTGGGGAAAGTGCAAAGAAGCCCCCCCTCCCTCCCCAACTCCACTGAGCTTTGCTTCATCCCCCAGCAGAAGTCACTTGTCCAGCCTCTGCACAGCCCGCCCACACTGACTTTTCTTAAGACACCGAGGCCCAGCTGTCTTTGCCATAACTCCTTTTAGAACGCAAGCTCTTTGAGAGATCTGAACATCTCCTTTACTTTGAATTATTTCTCAAGGTGGTTTTGCTTATAAATTTTGAGAAAACAAAACAGAGAAATGAACCAACGTGGTTTTATGCCTCCAGGAACCAGTCTCCATGGACCCTTAAGAAAGAAAAACCACAAACTATTTGAAAAGCCCGCAAATATTTTAGATCCAAGATTTCAAGGCATAAAATGTGAGTGATAATGTAGTTCATATCACTAAAATGCAAACAAAACAAAACAAAACAAAACAAAACAAAACAAAAAAACATCCCAACCAATTCCTTCTCAAAATTCAAACCTAGATAAATTATCAACTCTTCTACGAAGCCTTCACCCCTCAGGAACCTCCTCTCCAGCATTCCCGCCACTATTCATTGACTTCTGCTACAACCTTTATACTGTATTTTGATCATATGTGAATATGGCTGTCTTCTCCCAGTCTCACGGGCTCCCTTACTCATCTTTCCAGTCCTCGGTCTAACAAGACATACCATGACTTTTTATTTTTAAATAAATATGTATCAACTGAATGAACCAAATGAAGGAAGGAAGGAGCCCACGCAGGAACTTTTTTAAAAGTTGGCCGAATCAAAACATATTCAGGCATCAGGCCCAGGAAGAGAGGCGAGAACTTTCTACTCCTCAGTTGTAAGATCTTGGCAGAATTCCTACCGTGTTTTTCAATTTTTTTCCCCCACTGGGGTAACGTGTAAGTAATATTTATCACTTAACCCGTTTGTAATTGTACAATTCAGTGGCATTAAATATATGGACAGCTGCCAACCCCCACTATAATTTTACATCCTCCTCCTGAATGTACCCATTAAAAAATGGATCCCTATCCCCTCACCGTCCTTCCGGCCCCTGGCACTCTCTATTCTACTGAGTGCCTCTTTGAATTTGCCTCTTTGAGGTCTCCCATGTATGTGGAAACGTAGTATTTGTCCTTCTGTGTCTCACTTATGTCATTTCTGTCTTCAGTGTTCACCCACGTTGTAGCATCTGTCAGAACTACATTCCTTTTCTGAGGCTGAATAATATTCTACTGCATGAGAACTCTTCTTGTTGGCCTAGGTATCCTTCACCTGGTGCAACAAGGAAAGGTCAGGTTGTTTATGTTTCAAAATACTTAAGTACTTTCGCTACATACCACATCAAAAGCGACGTGTGAAAGTGTAGAGAAGCTTGCTTCCATCTGGTAAACCTCTCGTTTTCATCAAGGGTGATAAAAACGAAATGATAAAAGTAGAAAATGCTGGTAATAACTATGGAGAAAACGAGACTGTGTAAACAAACAGCCAGGCGTCAATTGTGATATGCAACAACTTGTTTCTTCTTGGTAAGGGTTGGGGGTGCTTAACTTGCAGGGTTTTTTTTACTCCTTTTCCTAAAAATGGCTGCTCTGTTTGTTGCACTCAATAAAAGCTGTTTTATCTTGAAACCCTAAGAACCATTTTTACCCTAATACTCCGTTTCTTCTCATAAACCGAGAAAATGAAGAGATGTTCAAGATGCCTGCAACTTTACAGCTTGGCTCCCTTTATATCAAAATGGTAAAAGGTTAACATGAATATTCAATGAGTCTGTCATTAGTATCTGAATAAACTATACTGGCATACCTCATTTTATTGTGCTTCACTTTATTGCGCTTGGCAGGTATTGTGTTTTTTTACAAATTAAAGTTTTGTGGCAACCCTGGGTCGAGCAAGTCTGTTGGCAGCATTTTTTCCAACAGCATTTGCTCACTTTGTGTCTCTCTGGCACATTTGGGTAATTCTAGCAATATTTCAAATTTGTCATTATTATTATGTGACCAGCGGTCTTTGATGTTACTACTATAATTATTTTGGCGTGCCACAAACCACATCCATGTAAGATGGCCAACTTAAAGGATACTGTTCTGTGTATTCTGGTGGCTTAATCCAACTGGCCATTCCCCCCTCTGTCTCACTATTCCAAGATGCAACAATACTGAAATTGAGGTCAACCAATCACCCTTCAGTGGCCTCTAGGTATTCAAGTGAAAGGGAGAGCTGTACTTCTCTCAATTTAAACCAAAAGCTAGAAAGGATTACACTTAGCAAGAAAAGCATGTCAAGAGCCAAGAGAAGCGAAAGCTAGGTCTCTTGTGCCAAATAGCTAACTTGTGAATGCAAAAAAAAAAAAAGTTCTTGGGGCACCTGGGGGGCTCAGTCAGTTAAGTGTCTGACTTCAGCTCAGGTCATGATCTCATGGTTCATGGATTCAAGCCCCACATCGGGCTCTGTGCTGACAGCTCAGAGCCTGGAACCTGCTTCAGATTCTGTGTCTCCCTCTCTCTCTGCCTCTCTCTCTCTCTCTCTTTCTCAAAAAAAAAAAAAAAAATTAGAAAATTAAAAAAAAAAGAGCAAAGGCTCTTAAAGAAAATGAAAACCTAGCTGACACATGAATGGTAAAACCAAACAGTTTTATTGTAAACTGTAAAGTTTGAGTGGCCTGCATAGAGGATCAACCCAGGCACAACATTCCCTTAAGCCAAAGCCTAATCTAGAGCAAAGCCCTAACTCTCTTCAATTTGAGGACGGCTGAGAGAGGTGAGGAAGCTGCAGGAGAAAAGTGTGAAGCTAGCAGAGATTGGTTCAT